AGGGAAAAAGAGAGAGAGAGAAAGAGAGATAGAGACAAGGAGAGATAGATCGAGAGAGAAACTAAGACAGAGACTAAGGCAGAGACAAGGAGAGAGGATGAAATGGACAGAGAGAGAGGGAAAGAGACAGAGACAGGGAGGGATAGAGAGAGACAGAGAGAGAGAGAGAGAGAAGGATAGAGAGAGTGATAGAGTGAGAGAGAGATGGCGATAGATGGGGAGACAGGGAGACAGGGAGAGTGAGAGAGAGAGAGATGGTGGGAGAGGGAGAGAGGGCGAGAGAGCGAGAGCGAGAGCGAGGCAGAGCGACAGAGAGAGAGCGCGATGGCGTGAGAGAGACAGAGACAGTGAGGGATAGAGAGAGTGTCATGGATGGATAGGGAGAGAGAGACAATGGGAGGGAGGGGGAGAAAGAGAGAGAGAGACACAGAGACAGAGAGAGAGTTTGAAAGGGCGAGAGAGGCATGTAGAGAGAGAGGGAGGGAGTGAGAGAGAGAGAGACAGGGAGAGAAGGAGAAAGGGAAAGAGCTAAAGAGAGAAAGAGAGACAGATTGAGAGTGCGAGAGAGACATGGAGAGAGAGAGAGAAATAGGTAGAACTAGAGAGGCAGAGAGATAGAGAGAGAAACAGATGCACAGAGAGATGGGAAAAAAGATAGAAAGAGATATACAGAGAGAGAGAGAGAGAGACAGGGAGAGAGAGAGAGAGACGGGGGAGAGAGAGAGAGACGGGGGAGAGAGAGAGAGACGAGGGGAGAGAGAGAGAGACGGGGGGAGAGAGAGAGACGAGGAGAGAGAGAGACGGGGGGAGAGAGAGAGAGAGACGAGGAGAGATAGATCGAGAGAGACTAAGACAGAGACAAAAATCGAGAGAGAAAGGGACAGAGAGAGAGGAAAAGTGAAAGAGACAGGGAGGGACAGAGAGAGACAGGGAGAGAGAGAGACAGAGAAGGATAGAGAGAGAGTGATAGAGTGAGAGAGATGGCGACAGAGAGATGGGGAGACAGGGAGCGAGAGAGGGAGAGATGGGGAGACAGGGAGCGAGAGAGAGAGAGCACGATGGCGCGAGAGAAAGAGGGATACAGAGAGTGTCACGGATGGATAGGGAGAGAGACAGAGAGAGAGAGAGAGTGTGAGTGACAGTGAGTGACAGTGAGGGATAGAGAGAGAGACGGAGAAGGGGGAAGGGAGAGGGCGACGGGGGAAGGGAGAGGGAGACAGAGACAGAGACAGAGACAGAGACAGAGACAAGGAGAGAGTTTCAGAGGGCGAGACAGACATAGAGAGATGGAGTGAGAGAGAGACGGGGGAGTGAGGCAGCGGGGAAGAGAGATAGAGGCAGGGACAAGGAGAGAGGGAGAAAGGGAAAGAGATAGAGAGAAAAAGAGACAGAGAACGAGAGAGAGATTGAGAGTGCGAGAGAGACACGGAGAGAGAAAGAGGTAGAGAGAGAGAGGTAGAGAGAGAGAGGTAGAGAGAGAGAGGTAGAGAGAGAGAGACAGAGGTGCACAGAGAGATGGGAAAGAAGATAGGCAGAGATGTACAGATAGAGAGGTATACAGAGAGAGAGAGGCAGGGAGAGAGGGAGAGAGAGAGAGATAGAGATAGAGAGAGAGAGAGAGACGTGGAGAGAGAGAGACAGGGAGAAAGAGATAGAGGGAGAGGGAGAAAAACAGGGAGAGCTAGATCGAGAGAGAGACTAAAACAGATAAAAGGATAGAAGGCAAAAGGGAGATGGAGAGAGAGAGAAAGAGAGAGAGACTGAGAGGACAAGCGGTTGAGAGAAAGACTTGAACAGTGAGAGAGAGAGAGAGAGAGAGATAGGGAGAGCAGGCAGAGAGAGAGAGATGGCGAGGGGGGGTGATGTGGGGCAGTGGGAAGAGAGAGACAGGGAGGGAGAGAGAGAGACACACACACAGCGAGAGAGAGCCGGGGTTGGGGGAGAGATGGAGAGAGAGGGAGACAGAGAGAGACAGAGAAAGAAAGGAAGAGATTGACAGAGATAGAGATAAATATATCTATATAGAGAGAGACAGGGAGAGAGAGAGGGAGAGAGACAGGAAGTGATAGATACAGAGCGTGAGAGGGAGATGGAGAGCAGGTTAGAGAAAGTGACGGAGAGAGAGATAGGGACAGAGAGAGGGGGAGAGAGAGAGCCCGAGACAGTGAAGGACAGAGAGAGACAGACAAGTAGGGAAAGAGAGAGAGAAATAGAGAGACACACAGAGCGAGAGTGGAACAGGGAGAGAGAGGGAGACAGAGAGAGAGAGACAGGGAGAGTTAGATAGAGAGATAGGGAGACAGAGAGAGAGAGACAGGGAGAGGGAGTTGAACAGAGAGATAGAGAAAGAAAGAAAGATAGACAGAGGTAGAGATAAATATAGCTATACAGAGAATGTGAGACAGAGAGTGAGCAAGACTGAGAGATAAAGGGCTAGTGACAGAGAGAGAGACACAGAGAGATAGAGAGAGAGAGAGACAGGAAGGGATAGAGACAGAGAGAGAGAGAGAGACAGGGAGCAAGGGGCAGAAAAAGAGAGAATGCGAGACAGTGAGGGACAGAGAGAGACAGACAAGTAGGGAAAGAGAAAGAGACAGATAAGGAGAGAGATAGAAAGAGAGAGATAGAGAGAGAGAGACACAGGGAGGGATAGAGACAGAGAGAGAGAGAGAGAGACAGGGAGCAAGGGCTAGATGGAGACAGAGAGAGAGAGACAGACAGAGAGAGAGAGAGAGAGAGAGACGGCTAGAGAAAGAGTCATGGATAGGTAGAGAGAGAGAGTGGGAGGGAGAAAAAGAGAGAGGGGGAGAGAAAGAGAGAGAGATTCAGAGTGCAAGGGAGACATGGAGAAAGAGAGACAGAGACAGGGACTGAGAGAGAGTGAGAGGCAGAGGCAAAGACAAAGAGAGAGGGAGAAAGGGGAAGAGAGAGAGAAAGAGACAGAGAAAGAGAGAGACATGGAGAGAGAGAGAAAGAGATACACAGAGAGGGGGAGAAAAGATAGACAGAGATCAAAAGATAGAGACATATACAGAGAGAGAGAGAAATAGGGACAGAGAGAGAGACATGGAGGCATACAGACAGAAAGAGACAGTGAGAGAGAGAGAGAGAGAGAGAGACTGAGAGAGGGAGAAAGAGAGATAGAAAGAGAGACTGAGATAGAGACAAGGGTAGACGGAGAAAGGGAGATAGAAGGAGAGGAAGAGAGAGAGAGACAGGGAGAGGTAGGTAGATAGAGAGAGAGTGAGTGAGATCGGACGGGAAACAGGGAGGGAGAGGGAGATGGAGAGAGACAGAGAGGGATAGAGAGAGACACATACACAGTGCGAGAAGGGGAGGGGGAGAGGCAGAGAAAGAAAGATAGAGATAGACAGAGATAGAGATAAATATATCTATATAGAGAGTGAGAGACAGGGAGAGATAGAGAGACAGAGAGGGAGAGAGGCAGAAAGGGATAGAGACAGGGACAGTGGGTGAGATAGAGAGTGACAGTGCGAGACAGTGAGGGACAGAGAGAGACAGACAAGTAGGGAAAGCGAGAGAAAGAGACAGATAGGGAGAGAGATAGAAAGAGACAGACAGAGAGAGAGAGACA